TGAACCGGAGTTGGAGCCTTCAATGCCTCTTGCCTTGCATAAATCATGCCTTTTTAGCATCTCTCCCCAAACAATTGAACAATTCCCACCTTTAGCCAGGTGGATAAAAGGATTAACACCTACTGAAGCCTTCTTGATACCAAGGATGGAATTGTAACTACAGCAATGTGGCTCCGCAACTTCTGCAACTGCTTTCCTGTTCTTGGACAATCAGCATCTGCCTTGATGGATTCCTTGGTGACTGGATCAATGTTCTACCTGTGTGGACCTTTTTTATTAGAAGAAGTGGCTCGGAGAAGCTATGAGATACCTTCAACATTTACACCCCATTCACACTTGTACGACTTGTCAACATCAAACTGCCGGCTTTGAACATCAAAGTTGCATGACAAGTCGTGCCCCATATTTTCCAATGATTACCATTCATACACTGTAGGTGAGGCCTAAAGTTGCAGAGACTTCAAAGTAGTTTGTGCAATACTTTGGCCCAACTTGATTGCCATAAACTTCAATGGTATCTCTCAAAAGTTGCATGAAAGATACCTGAATGTTTTACATGCAACAGTGGGTGACTTTGCAGAGGGACTATAAGTAACATCCAAGTCGCACCCATCCAAAGTTGCACCAAGGCTGCACTCCAAAGTTGTGGTTGTCTAAAACCACTGTAGAGGTGAAAAAAAACCCTTCTGCCTTCAAGTTTGTGCAGCGAGTTGCAACTCTCTGCAGGGTGTTAGTAACGAGGCATTGCCCCCAGGAGAGTACAGTGCGCATTGTCTACCGTCAGTCTGGTGGAACTTGTCCAAGCCCCAAAGTAACATCCAAGTCGCACCCATCCAAAGTTGTACCAAAGTTGCACTCCAAAGTTGTGGTTGTCTACAACCACTTTAAGGTGAAAAAAAAATCATCTGCCTTTTAGGTTTGTCCAGTGAGTTGCAGCTCTCTGCAGGAAGTTAGTGACGAGGCATTGCCCTCGGGTGAGCACAGTGTGCATTGTCTACTGTCATTCTGGTGGAACGTGTCCAAGCCTAAAAGTACCATCCAAGTTCGCACCCATCCAAAGTTGCATTCCAAAGTTGTGGTTGTCTACAACCATTTTAAGGTGAAAAAAAACCTTCTGCCTTCATGTTTGTCAAGTGACTTGCAGCCCTCTGCAGGAAGTTAGTGACGAGGCATTGCCCTCGGGTGAGCACAGCGTGCATTGTCTACCTTCATTCTGGTGGAACTTGTCCAAGCCCCAATGTCTCTCCTTTCATGTTCTGAAACACAGATAGGAAAGCAATTCTTTTGTTTGCTTGGCAGGTAGAAGGTGCAAGGAGATTAATTCGCCGATGATTGCAGGGTGTGGGAAAACGTGTATCCTAGAAAGAGAACGCTGCGGCGCTTATGGTGCCTTTTTATTGCAGACATCAGGGGAGTCGCCAGTTGCTGGTTTGCAGGTATTACCTTTGGAAAAGTCCTCGCTTTTTCAGTATCAACTCTGATTACACATTCCAGTGTTCCTTTGTTACATCGTATTTATATACTTTTATATATCAATTTGGGCTTTTATGCAGCATGCGCTTCATCATAAAAGTAGGTGTAAACCCTGAGCCCCCCCCCCCCCCCCCGTTTAAAGAGTGTTTTGCTACACAAACTGCGACAGTCCTCAAGATGATGAATCCTGTTATTTTCACAGGCCCCCCCCCCCCCCCCCCCTCACACCTGTTGTGTCGCTCCACGCCAGCTGCATCTGTGCTTAGGGCAGAATCACGCATTTTTGGCCCCATGGACTTTACCCCCCCCAGGGTCATTCTTGCATTTCTCATATAAAAATCAGCTTTTTTTTGCTAGAAATCTACTTAGAACCCCCAAACGTTATATATTTTTGAAGCAGAGGCCCCGGAGAATAAAATGGAGAATAAAATGGTTGTTGTTGCCATTTTTTTTTTACGTCGCAGGATATGCAAATTTTCAAGAGAAAATGCGCTTTGATGAATTTTAGTGCACGCCAACACAACAGAATACCCAATTTTTAAAAAAAATTTAAAGGATGATGTTACGCCGAGTAAATAGATACCAAACATGTCCCGCTTTAACCTCATCTTCCTGCCGGTCATATATGCGGCTTCTCAGCGCATGGGCTTTAATTTCGAGCCGCCACATATATGCGTATGTTAAATTCACGCTCCCAGCACAGTAACTGACGTGTCGCAGAAAGCTCCCGATGCATACTTGCGATCTGGAGGTTTCCGATCACGTGACCTCTGTGACAGCCAATCACAGCAATCACATGATCGGGATGCCCACCTCCACTTCCAGGCATTTTGATCCACTTAAAGGACCAGAAGACGGGAAGGGGTTAAAATTGCATATGACTGCGGAACAGTGACAAAGGAGGATACATAAAATGTTCCATGGGGTACACTTTAATGACCGGTTCCATGCCTTTCAGTTGCTTTTTTTTCTGCATCCAAAACGCACAAAGTCGGTGATATGGTTGTCAGTGTCATAGTTCACATCAGGGCTTGCAGTTCCGGGTGGAGAAAAAAAAAATGGGCTGCATTTTTCCTGCCCAGAACTGTACTGGAACACACATGTCCCTATTTGAATTGAAGAAAAAGGGGAAAACTGGAATGCATAAAAAACGCACCGGAACGCATGAAAAACCGCATTCGGATTGCTTCTGGACTGTGTTTCTATAGTGTGAACCGGCCCTTAAAGCCTTTTCAGGTCACCAGTTAAGAGTTACACAGGAGGTCTGCTGCTAGAATTTTTGCTCTCACTCTGACGTTCGCAGCGATACCTCACCTGTGCGGTGCGATCGCCATTTACACCTACATGCGCGTTCGCCTTTGTGAGTGATCACAGTGGGATGGGAGGCTTTACATTTTTAAACTTGTATTATTTATTTTATTTATTGTTTCATCAGTGGGAGGAATAGTGCCCCATCATTGGTATCAGTGGGAGGAATAGTGCCCCATCATTGGTATCAGTGGGAGGAATAGTGCCCCATCATTGGTGTCAGTGGAGGAATAGTGTTCCATCATTGGTGTCAGTGGAGGAATAGTGTTCCATCATTGGTGTCAGTGGGAGGAATAGTGCCCCATCATTGGTGTCAGTGGGAGGAATAGTGCCCCATCATTGGTGTCAGTGGGAGGAATAGTGCCCCATCATTGGTGTCAGTGGGAGGAATAGGGCCCCGTCATTGGTGTCAGTGGGAGGAATAGTGCCCCTGTCATTGGTGTCAGTGGGAGGAATAGTGCCCCGTCATTGGTGTCAGTGGGAGGAATAGTGCCCCGTCATTGGTGTCAGTGGGAGGAATAGTGCCCCATCATTGGTATCAGTGGGAGGAATAGTGCCCCATCATTGGTGTCAGTGGAGGCATAGTGCCCCATCATTGGTGTCAGTGGGAGGAATAGTGCCCCATCCTTGGTGTCAGTGGGAGGAATAGTGCCCATCATTGGTGTCAGTGGGAGGAATAGTGCCCCATCATTGGTGTCAGTGGGAGGAATAGTGCCCCATCTTGGTGTCAGTGGGAGGAATAGTGCCCATCATTGGTGTCAGTGGGAGGAATAGTGCCCCATCATTGGTGTCAGTGGGAGGAATAGTGCCCCATCCTTGGTGTCAGTGGGAGGAATAGTGCCCATCATTGGTGTCAGTGGGAGGAATAGTGCCCATCATTGGTGTCAGTGGGAGGAATAGTGCCCCATCATTGGTGTCAGTGGAGGAATAGTGCCCCATCATTGGTGTCAGTGAGAGGAATAGTGCCCCATCATTGGTGTCAGTGGGAGGAATAGTGCCCCATCATTGGTGTCAGTAGGAGGAATAGTGTCCCCGTCATTGGTGTCAGTGGGAGGAATAGTGCCCCGTCATTGGTGTCAGTGGGGGAGGAATAGTGCCCTGTCATTGGATGGAGCCAAAACCTGCATTTGTGCTTCAGCGCTACAAGTGGAAGGAGTCTGTATGACTGAAGGGAAGGCTGGAGGTCAGATTTAAAAAAAAAAAAAAAAAAAATCTGGAATTTTTGTGTGTATTATAAATCATTAGCAATTCCCAGAAAATCCTCTGACACCGAGGAGAGAGTCTGGCAGGGTGACTGAACAGAGCTCTGCTAAGCAAACAATGGGGGCGGGGCTAAGTGGTTTGGATTAGTAAAAGAGAGGGGGGGGGGGTACATTTTCCGAATTCCTCAGCTGGAGGAGACTGGATGCATTCAAAACAACACCATGACCTCCTCATGGCCAAAAATATTCTCCCGGCCCAGATTTCAGGCTGGGGCACCACTACAGTGGAGTGCCCCTACTCTGGGGGAAGGAGGGGGGCATCTTTGGACACCAGCCTTGTCACCCTGGGGGGGGGGGGTGTCAGGTGGACTAGCCGATTTAGATACACTAACAAATCGAAGCTGAACTCCAGCTCACTCAGATACAGCAAACAGGTTTTTTTTTTTTTTTTCATTGTTGGGATAAAGGTGTGATAGGAATAAATAACAGCTGATTACTGATCATGTGTGAGGAAACCCTCTGATTGGGACATCTGATGTAAGGGAAGGGGGAGGGGGTCTAAAGGGAACCCTGATGTAAGGGGGCACTCTGATGGGGTTAACTGATAATATGTAAGGAAACAATCTGATGGGGGCACCTGATGTAAGGGGGCACTCTGATGGGGACACCTGATGTAAGGGGGCACTCTGATGGGGACACCTGATGTAAGGGGGCACTCGGATGGGGGCACCTGATGTAAGGGGGCACTCTGATGGAGAACACCTGATGTAAGGGGGCACTCTGATGGGGGACACCTGATGTAAGGGGGCACTCTGATGGGGGACACCTGATGTAAGGGGGCACTCTGATGGGGACACCTGATGTAAGGGGGCACTCTGATGGGGACACCTGATGTAAGGGGGCACTCTGATGGGGGACACCTGATGTAAGGGGGCACTCTGATGGGGGACACCTGATGTAAGGGGGCACTCTGATGGAGAACACCTGATGTAAGGGGGCACTCTGATGGGGACAGCTGATGTAAGGGGGCACTCTGATGGGGACACCTGATGTAAGGGGGCACTCTGATGGGGACACCTGATGTAAGGGGGCACTCGGATGGGGGCACCTGATGTAAGGGGGCACTCTGATGGAGAACACCTGATGTAAGGGGGCACTCTGATGGGGGACACCTGATGTAAGGGGGCACTCTGATGGGGGACACCTGATGTAAGGGGGCACTCTGATGGGGACACCTGATGTAAGGGGGCACTCTGATGGGGGACACCTGATGTAAGGGGGCACTCTGATGGGGGACACCTGATGTAAGGGGGAACTCTGATGGGGGACACCTGATGTAAGGGGGCACTCTGATGGGGGACACCTGATGTAAGGGGGCACTCTGATGGGGACACCTGATGTAAGGGAGCACTCTGATGGAGAACACCTGATGTAAGGGGGCACTCTGATGGGGAACACCTGATGTAAGGGGGCACTCTGATGGGGGACACCTGATGTAAGGGAGCACTCTGATGGAGAACACCTGATGTAAGGGGGCACTCTGATGGGGACACCTGATGTAAGGGGACACTCTGATGGGGACACCTGATGTAAGGGGGCACTCTAATGGAGAACACCTGATGTAAGGGGGCACTCTGATGGGGACACCTGATGTAAGGGAGCACTCTGATGGAGAACACCTGATGTAAGGGGGCACTCTGATGGGGACACCTGATGTAAGGGGACACTCTGATGGGGACACCTGATGTAAGGGGGCACTCTGATGGGGACACCTGATGTAAGGGGACACTCTGATGGGGACACCTGATGTAAGGGGGCACTCTGATGAGGACACCTGATGTAAGGGGGCACTCTAATGGAGAACACCTGATGTCCTGATGTAAGGGGGCACTCTGATGGGGGACACCTGATGTAAGGGGGCACTCTGATGGAGACACCTGATGTAAGGGGGCACTCTGATGGAGACACCTGATGTAAGGGGGCACTCTGATGGAGACACCTGATGTAAGGGGGCACACGGATGGAGACACCTGATGTAAGGGGGCACTCTGATGGGGACACCTGATGTAAGGGGGCACTCTGATGGGGACACCTGATGTAAGGGGCACTCTGATCGAGACACCTGATGTAAGGGGACACCTGATGTAAGGGGGCACTCTGATGGGGGCACCTGATGTAAGGGGACTCTGAAGTAAGAGAGTTATGGTCAGGCACAATCAGTCTGGGGAGAAAAGTGCTAGATGATGCTGGACATCATACAGCCAGGAAATGAGGCGGAGCTCTGTCTGACTGAATGCAGCTTCTAATGCACATTGTGAGAAGCTCCCAGTGTGCGGTGACATCAGAGGAAGCCGATTCAGGCCAGGGGAGTGGGTACACCTGTGCAAGACTGAAAAGGAGGAGCCAGAACACCTGCGCAAGACTGAAGGGGAGGAGGCGGGACGCCTGTGCAAGACTGAAGGGGAGGAGCCAGGACACCTGTGCAAGACTGAAGGGGAGGAGCCGGGACACCTGTGCAAGACTGAAGGGGAGGAGCCGGGACACCTGTGCAAGACTGAAGGAGAGGAGCCGGGGACACCTGTGGAAGACTGAAGGGGAGGAGCCGGGACACCTGTGGAAGACTGAAGGGGAGGAGCCGGGACACCTGTTGAAGACTGAAAATGAGGAGGCGGGACTCCTGTGCAAGACTGAGGAGAAGGAGCCGGGACACCTGTGCAAGACTGAAGGGGAGGAGCCGGGACACCTGTGCAAGACTGAAGGGGAGGAGCCGGGACACCTGTGCGAGACTGAAGGGCAGGAGCCGGGACACCTGTGCAAGACTGAAGGGGAGGAGCCGGGACACCTGTGCAAGACTGAAGGGGAGGAGCTGGGACACCTGTGCAAGACTGAAGGGGAGGAGCCGGGACACCTGTCCAAGACTGAAGGGGAGCCTTTCTGGAGTTCTGCTTAAAAAAAAATAATTTGAAGGACAAACGTTTGGTGTCAGCAGGGATGATGCGGGGGATATGGCAGATTCGTGGCCTTCCATAAACCAGCTGGCGTCTGTTTCTACCCCCATAGTAGCTGCTAAGAGGTGCCAGGGGAACCGTGCTGTCAGGAAGAACCCGACCTTCAGCTTTTGCTCCCGTTCCCTCTACGGACCCCGAGGCACCACTGCCACAAACCTGTTCCGGGACCGGCTGTGCTGTAAACAAAACAAAAAAAAAGCCTTCGGCACACCAAAGGTTAAAATGTAAATCTAAACCCAAAAATAGAAATCGTCCTGCAGGATGTCTCACCGATCCTTGGACTGCGTTCCCTTTTATTAGCTCCTGCCAGTAACACACTTCCTGTTCTAGAGTGACAACACTCACTGTGCTGCATCTATGGGGGAGCCATGGTTGTCACACAGGCTGGACTTCCAACATGGGGGGGGGGGGGGGGTGGGATTAGTAGTTCACACAAGAAATATAAATCCATTTGCGTCTTCTTTTAGGCCTCCATGATCAGGCCCCGATGGGTGGGGGGGGCGAAATGCGTCAGTGGGTGTGGCCAGGCCATCTACATGTCTGGCTCTCGGGGGGTCGGTCGAGCAGCGTCCATCTTCTCACTCCTCGGCCCCATTCACACTTGTGCGACTTTGGGGTCCACAGTTGCATGACAAGTCGCAGCCCATGTTTCCCAATGAGTACCTTTTCCTATGTGTGCGACTTAACCCCTCGCCTACCGGGCACTTATACCCCCTTCTTTACCAGGCCAATTTTCAGCTTTCAGCGCTGTCGCATTTTGAATGACAATTGCGCGGTCATGCAACATTGTACCCATATGAAATTTTTATCATTTTTTCTCACAAATAGAGCTTTCTTTTGGTGGTATTTACTCCCCGCTGGGCACTTTACTTTTTGTGCTATAAACAAAAAAAGTGCAAAAAAAAAAAAAAAAGTTTCTTTGTTTCTATTATAACATTTTTCAAACAGGTAATTTTTCTCCTTCGCTGATGTGCGTTGATGAGGCGGCACTGATGGGCACTGATAGGCAGCACTAATGAGGTGTCACGGATAGGTGGCACTGATATGCGGCACTGATAATGGGTACTGATAGACAGCACTGATAGGTGGCACTGATTGGCGGCACTGCTGGGCCCTGACTGGCACAACCGCTGGGCACTGACTGGCAGCACTGCTGGGCTGCACTGATGGCCACTGGTGGGTGGCACTGGTGGGCACAGGTGGGTGGCACTGCTGGGTCGCACAGGTGGGCGGAACTTGTGTGTGGCACTGCTGGGCACCGATCATCGGGGCACTGATGATCAGTGCCCCGATGATCGGTGCCGATCCCCGCTCTGACAACTGCCGGTTTTCGGCACTACTTTCCTCACGATCTGACAGCGCGAGGAAAGTGCAGCCGAGAACCGGCATTTGCATTTCCCGGTGATCAGCGTGTCATTGGACACGGCTGATCACGTGGTAAAAGGCCGCTGTGATTGGCCTTTTACCACGTCACGTGATCAGCTGTGTCCGTAGGACACAGCAATCACGGAGATCGGCCAGGTGCGTGCCCCCGGGGGCGCGCAGGAGAGCGCGTTCTGGGAGGACGTCATATGACGCCCTCTCAGAACTGGCCGGCCACAGTGCCGCCGTCATTCGGCTATCTGCGGTCGGCAACTAGTTAAAGTCACAGCCACTTTAAAGGAGTTCCTGCACTACTTTTGTCCGACTTTCATGCGACTTGTGACCCATAGACTTCAATGTAAACCCTCCAAAGTCCCACCTGAATGATAAACATGAGAATTGTGCGTGACTTTGTAGAGCGAAAAAGGAGAATCGAAGGAGACAAAGTCGCGCTCATCCAACGTCGCATCAAAGTCGCAATAGTAATGGCGTGATTTTTGAAGCTGCACAAGTGTGAATCGAAGCTCACAGGCAGTGACAGGGACACCACATTTCTGGCAGGATCAATGAGTATTTTCTATGTGTCACAAAAAAAGAAAACGACTGCAGGGGCCACATCTGAGACTCCTAATATTAGCGACTTTAACCCCTTCAAGCCGGCGCCTCCCAGCCCTTTCAGAGTTTCAAAAGCCGGGAGGCGGGGTTTTAGGGTCATATGATCCGTCACAGCGGTCACATGATCGGGAAAGGTCCCGATCAAAAGAGGAGATTGGGACCTTCCCGTGAGTACCGTACACGTGTGCCGGGAGCGTGCAGGGCACGCGCTCTCGGCACATATGTCCTTTTTTAATAGACCAACGCAAATGTGCGGCCGCTCGGCGTCTAGGCCCAGACGCCAAATGTGCGGCCGGCGTGAAGAGGTTAAAGGAGTTCCTGCACTACTTTGGTCCGACTTTCAGGCGAATTGAGGGCCTTTGACTCCAATGTGAACCCTCCAATGTCGCATGAAAAAGTCGCACCTGAATGATAAACATGAGGCTTGTACGTGACTTTGTAGTGAAAAAGGAGAAACAAATGACACCGTCTCTCCCGTCTTCCTTCTAGGTGCCATCGTGTGGACCAAGATGACGCAACCCGCCGCCGCCCAGAACCCTCTGAACAGCCCCCCCGTCGCCTAAGGACACCCACGCGGCTGACTCACGATAATGAATTCGGAGAGGTAAGAGTCTCAACGGCACAGGTGAGGTTACCAATGCAAGGCGATCCGAAGCCAACTGCCCCCCCCCAAAGGGTCCCGGAGCCTAAGGTGGCAGAACCCCCCCATACACAGTTTTAGGAGGACGATTATCTGGAAGCCATTGTGGCCTACAGCACGTGACGCTCCTTTTTTTTTTTTCTACTGGATGAGCGCCATGGAAGGCCACGCCCCCGCTCCGGAAACGGCACACAAACTATTCCTGCGGGGATGCAGACGGAGAAAAGAAATTGGTTTCGGATCGATTCGTTGGGTTACTAATTTTATTTCCGTAAAGAAACTCGTTTTAGTTTTTGACCGGATTCAAGTTTTATTTCCAATGGATTTGAGGTATTCGGATTGAATTTGATTCAAATCGATCCAAATTCATTGTGAAGTGTAGCTGGCTCTATTCTATTTGAAATGTGAATTTTAGAAGACAGCTATAGTCTATTTTATTCTATTCTGTTCTATTCTAATCCATTCTATTTTTTTTATTCTAATTTATTCTAATACTCTATTCTATTCTTTTATGTTTTATTTTTTCTGTTTTACTTATTCTGTTCTTTTCTGTTTTTTTTTATTCTGTTTTACTCTATTCTATTTATTTGTTTTATTTTATTCTGTTTTACTCTATTTATTCTATTCTTTTATGTTTTATTTTATTCTGTTTTACTCTATTCTTTTATTCCTTTCCATTCTTTTCGCAATTCGACTTTCGGAAGAAGGGTGTATTCTTTTTTTTCATTCTGGTCTGTTCTTCTCTATTCTATTTTTTTATTTTCTAATCTATTCTATTCTGTTTTCTTCTTTTTTTTTTTATAATCTATTCTCTTCTGTTTTTTTTCTATTCTATTTTTTTTTTCATTTCAGAAGACCGTTATATTCTTTTTGTTTTAGTCTATTCTATTTGAAATTCGAATTTTGAAAGACCGCTATATTTTCTATTCTATTCTCTTATTTTCTATTATATTTTTTTATTTTCTATTCCACTATGTTTTACTTTATTCTTTTCTATTCTACTCTTTTTTAATTTTGGAAGACGGCTATATTATTTCTATTCTATTCTATTCTATTTTTGAATTTTGGAAGACAGCTATATTATTTCTATTTTTTTCAATTTCATTCTAATCTATTTATTTTATTCCATTCTATTCTTGTCTATTCTATTCTGTTTTATTCTAATATCTTCTATTCTATTCAGTTTTATTGTTTTCTATTCATTTTGAAATTCATATTTTATTCTAATCTATTAAAAATTAGAATTTCGAACTTGGAAAGTTGGTTATATATTCTTTCTATTATTTTTTCTATTCTATTCCTTTATTTTTTTAACCTATTCTATTCTGTTGTATTCTTTTCTAAATTCGAATTTCCTAAGATGGCTGTATTCTAATACACATACTCCTTTTAAAGGAAATCAGCCATAGTCAGCTTATATGTTTTACTTGTTTTCAAATTCAGTTTTGTTTTTCAATTCGAATTTAGATAGTTCGTTATTTCGGACAAAATTTCATTATTTTAAATGAGTGACTATTTTTATTTGGAGCTTCAAATGCATTCAGATCCCTGAATAATAAAACTTTTGTCTTAATTTGGATTCAGAACGTAACGAATCGCACGGGTCTAATCAGAGGCCGAGAATCTTACAGTTAGGTGTTAATTACAGAGGTAAGGAAGGGCTAAGCCAAAGGAGCGTTCTTCGGATTCCTCACCTAAGGGGAAAATCAATTTTAGCTGACTCATAGAAGGCGACACGTGTATTGTTGGCATGACGTACATCACAGTACAGCCTGGGGGGGGTCATTCATAAAATGTACAGTATGTATATCTGATACTTTGTTTGTTCGATGTACACCTACTTTTCTCCACAACGAGGCAAGAGCGAGATATTCCGCGTTCAGGGGCAGACTGACAACTCATGGGGCCCCCTACTGACCCCGGGCCCACGGGCAGTGCCCGAGTGCTCGAATGGTCAGTCCGTTC